ACCCCTCCGTCACCCTGTACCCCTCAGTCACCCAGCCCCCTCAGTCACCCTGTACCCCTCAGTCACCTAGCTCCCCTCAGTCACCTCTCCGTTCCTGTTCCCTTGTTGGAATCGGGCAGATGCCCTGCCTGGTGCCACAGTTACCTCATACCTCCCATAGCCACCTTGTCTGTCCATCCCCAGTTACTCCATCTGTCTGTCCCCACAGCCACCCCACCATGCTCAGTTACCATGCTGGGTTGAATCTGATTGTCCATGTGGTACACAAGCAAGCTGTGGTTGAGCCATGCTCAGAGCGTTCCCTCAGTCCACACACGGGGGTGCCTGTCACTCCCCACCCCACCCCCAGTCCACACACCGGGGTGCCTGTCACTCCCCGCCCCACCCCCCCCAAGCCCACACACCGGGGTCGGGGTCCTCCAGCTTCTCCTTCAGCCGTGGGAAGGCGGGGCGCAGGGACTCAGGGTACTTAAGGAAGACCTTGTACATGATCAGCACTGCCTTCTTCCGGATGTAGGGCTTGGTATGTGACATCTGTGGGCAAAGGGGGTTCAGTCTCTGTACCCCACCATATCCCACAGCACCTCAAAACCCACCCCAAACCATAGGAGGTGCTCTCCAGTCACTACCTACCAGCCCCAGTAACCACAAACAAGGTCCAGGGCAGAATCAAAGACCCAAAGTCCATCCTGACCCTTCACATCTGTCTGCTTCCAGGTCCCCAACCCACCAGGACTGGGTGGGAGACTGAGCTACAAAGTACGCATGCCTGGCCTCTCCCTTCAACCTATTCTGTTGATTCTGGAGCTCCGGCTGGGGGGTCCTCACCTCCTCTGACTGCTTGCCCTGAGCTCCCCACTCAGCCCAACACCCACATGCACAGTGGGGCTCGGGACCAGTGATCGAGGACACCACAGAGCACCCATCAAGGAATGGGCAGAGCCGGATGCCAAGCCCAATCAATCTAGAACCAACATGAGCAGGGTCTGCCCAGCTGGTTGTTGTGGGCAATCTCCAGCCCTGATCCCCCCCACACCCCCAGGCTCTGGCTACCGGAGCTGGTAGTCGCACAGAGCAGGAAGCTGCTGAGCGCCATTGTAAGGGGCACATCAACAAGGGGTCCATCCTCCCAGCCCTTAGTGGATTAGGCTGAGTGCTGGGCAGACGTCAGAGAACCAGGAGGACCCAAGACTCTGACAAGCGTGGGTCCTGTGAGCAGAACTAAACCGCTGTGGTCAGAGACAGACGCACGCCTCAGACAGACTGTGCAAGCAGGGGTGTGACCCTGCTCCTGGCTGTTGGAACAGTTAGTCCAGGTGTGGTCAGGCAGAGGAAAGCCTCAGGGATGAAGCAGAATAAGCACCCTCATGCAGACCTTACTAGGGAGGTAGCTAACTGGGGAGGGGGTGAAGCTGCCCTTGGGGCACCCCACCTCACTTCTCTCCCCAAGGACAGGGGCATGAGAATACACGTGCTCCAGGATAGACCCAGCGTGACAGGGCAGGGGGGCAGTGACTTGTCCTGGCCTCCCATCCCAGTCACTGTCTGCACGGCCCCCTTCACTGGATATCCTGACCTGAGCCTGCCAGGCCTCAGACGAGCGTGCAAACTCACCAGCGTCATGATGTCATTTGCCAAATCTCTGGCCAGATCTGGGGTGACAAAACAGGCCAGGCCAGTTAGTGCAACTCCAGTGTCGTACTGACTAGGGCTGCTCAGGTCCTGCAACAGGAAGGCCAAGGGTCAGCGGGTGGCCACACACACACAAGTCAGGAGGGCACAGCTGTCTCGGGGAGCAGTCCCGCACACCAGGTCACCCCTCCCTGTCTCGGGGAGCAGTCCCGCACACCAGGTCACCCCTCCCTGTCTCAGGGAGCAGTCCCGCACACCAGGTCACCCTTCCCTGTCTCGGGGTGCAGTCCTGCACAGCAGCTCCTGCAGGAGACCAATCACTCCATCTACAGGAGCCAGGCAGCCATGTCTGGGGGAATCAGAACATTCCGAGGCAGAGAGTGAGCTGACTCTCAGATGATATAGGGGCTGTGGCTCCTGTAAGCGCAGCCCTCGGTCCAGGGAACCTAGCGTGGGCACGAGGGGCTCGGGCGCTCGTCCTCGGAATCCTGCTGCCTGAGGGCATGTGCCAACGGCAGGAGCTGTGCTGGGCACAGTGGTTAAACGCCTGACTGTGAACCAGAAGGTCAGCACCCTGGCCCACGAGCTGCTGTTCTCACACAGATGACGCCAAGGAGGCCCTGTGGCATGCTTCTATTCTGCAGGATGGGCTGAGAGTCAGAGCCACAGAAGCACTCGTATTCCCGGAGGAGGCGCTGATAGCTGCCCAAGCCTCCCCATCACACACCTCCGTCCTAAGCCTGCAGATCTAGCCAAAACTCAAAGGCCTCATCTCTACACCAGGGAAACGCTGCCGCGGACTACAGACTGGCTCTGGACAGCTTTGAGCCTCCAAGGACGTGAGGCAAAGCACATCACACCTGCCTCTCTCGGCTGCAGCTGGAAATAGGAAAATGCTGGCTTTTCCAGCCTCACCTATCCCGGGCCAATGGCTCAGACCATCATGGGATCCCACAGAACAAGACTATGACCACACCACACTGACCAGCAGGCCGAAGGCATTAGCGGAAGCCTCAGGAGCTGGCTAGGGACTTTTGGAAACCAGTGAGCAGTGAGGAAACCCCATCAAGCCTTGCGCAGTGTGGTGTAGGCCAGATTCGCTTCGGCGCACGGGAGAAGGGGCAGAGCAGGCGCTAGGCCTCTGTGGGCTCACCTTGCGGATCTGGTTAGTGGTCAGCATGATGACATCTGTGCCCTCGTGAAAACACTGGGAAGCAGCCAGGTACCCAATCCGCTGAGGGAGGGAAAGAGGGAGGTTTAAGGCTTGAGACGGACACAGGGCTGCACTTAACCTTCCTCCTGGGAGCCCCTAGCCCTGCCATGGAAGACTCACTGCTAGAAGCAGCCACCGCCCCAGGACCCAGGAACTGTTCAGGAACCAGGCAGTGAAAGAGGCCCGAGTGCGGGGACTTCCAGTGTTTCTGTAACGTTCTGCTGTAAAGCTCAGTTACTGACATTCGGCCTCTCACTCATTGGCACCCAGTGTCATAGGGGGACTCCATTCCCGTGACCTCGAAGCTGAGTGTGTGACCACACCCAGCCCTTGGGCCAATGAGCTCACCTTGAATGTGAACTTGGAGGCGCTCATCACTTCAATGATGTTGAAGGCCGCCCAGCTGATGTCGTATCCAAGCATTTGTAACTGGTGGGGATGGAATCACAGCGCCGTCAATTCGCAGCCCAGAGACAACATGTCTCGGGGCATCTGCCCTGCTTGACACAGAAGACCTCCCAGGTGATAGCCCTGGCCTAGCACGACCACAATGGGAGCTCCCAGTGGGCACTGGCAGGCCCCTCCTCTCCCTCCCTCCCATCTTGAGAAGGAGAGACACAGAGGGGCCAGCCACACCCACCACCCTGCAGGGCCTCTAAGGTCAGTGCCTGCCAGCCATGTACTTACATACGTCAGTTTGCAGACAGCGTTGGCTTTGACGGCGATGTTGTCTTGCTTCAGTTCTTGCTTGATTTCATCAATGCACTGAGAGATGTATTTTGCCTGAAAGAGGGAAAAGAACTTAGCAATTGCAAGTGTCTTGCAATTAAAGTGAACAGAAGTAAATACTGTTAACTGATGGTACATGGAGGGGATTGCAATCACTGTAACAAAGCAAAGTGTGTGACGTGCTGAATGTAAAACTGATGATCTGCTTCGTAAACCTTCACTCAATTCATAATAACAACTTAAACAAAAGGAAATAAAAAACAGGATTAAAAAAAAATAAGCATAAAATCATTCAGAGAAACAGCTTCAGAAAGCAGCCAATCACAGTCACACCCTATCTGACTGCACGAATGCACTCCTGCAGTGTCCATGACAGGCAGGTGCACATGTGTACACGCATGCATGCCCACGCACGCACATACGCCATCAGTGATGCTGGGGGGGAGGGGGAGGGGGGCTACTGGTAAGGGTACCACAGGGTTTCCTTTCTGAGCCTTGCAACATTCTGGAACGAGACATAGGTGATGGGGGCACATCTCCCAGCGTCCACTGAAGCCCTGGCATCATCCCATCTGTGTGCTCGGGGGAGGCGGAGGCTGTCTCCCATTGCTGTTCCGGGAAGCTGCTCCTCCCTCTGACATCAGCCACACACTGGATCCCCCTCGGGCTGTGCAGGGGCAGGCTTCCCCCACAGCAGCAGCAGTGCGCGGCTGACCGCATGTCTGACCCTCCTCGGCACCCTCTGGCTGCTCTCAGGAGCACAGTGTTCTCAGGGCGTGACCATGTCCCTGCAGGATCAGAGCTTCCTTCTCAGTACAATGGTGCAGATGACTGACCACACTGTCCACCCATCTGTCCACGGGCACTCGGGCCGTGTCTGCCTTTTCGCTACTATAGTGCTGCGATTACGTGCGTGTACAGTTTCTGCGTGGTGAGTTCAAGTGTCTCATGAATCAATACCTGGGGATGGAACTGCTGGGTCGTGTGGTATGCCCACATGTTTGACTTTCTGAGGAAATCACCAGACTGTTCCATAGCGGCGACACCACTTCACACACAGATCCTCCACAGCCTCACCAACCCTGTGACCGCCACTCTGCTCTTCCCCTCTGACTAGTGAAGAGCAGGGTCCGAGGTGCTGGCCCGTCAGGCACTGGGGAGCAGAAGCGACAAACACCCAGTGGGCGGGTCTCAGTAACTTGAAGCTTGTCAGAAGGATATGGTGACCTGGGTCCCAATGCTCCAACTCGCCATCATGAAACATTCACAGTTGTCTGGGGCCTCACGTGACTCTAGGAGCTGAGGTGCTAGGATGAGTCTAGGTGCACACCAGAGGTGTGGGAAGGATGAAGCCAGGTCTCTCACATCCCAAACACCCCCATGTGCGGGCAACACTTTTTGGGATGGCATGCTAGTAGATGTGCTAAATTAACTCAAGAAGGAAGCCACAGAAATGAAAACCTGCCTCCAAACAAATACCAGAACATGACTACTCAAAGCATCACAACTCAGTAGACAAAAGAGGAAGACAGAACCAGAGGTGGAGGCAGAGAGGAGGACATGGAAAGACGGAGCAGCTGAGGGCTCTAGACTCATGGAAAGAGAAAGGCTGTGTGCTGGCAGCCAGGAGGGAGATTTACAGAATGTGCCCTTTGGTTGTTTAAATGATTATATATTCCTGTGTGGTTTTGTGTACATCAAAACAAAAAACGGAATAGAAGCAAATACTGTTGAATGACGATGCACAGAGGTCCCTATAATCATTGCAATGAAAGGAAATACAATAAGATGAGTACAAAACCAATGTTCTCCCATGTAAAACCATCACTCAATTCACAATAAAAGCTTTTTTTTTTTTTAAAAAAAAAGGAAGACATCCGGATTTCAAAATTTATGACATGGCTACGATGTTTGATACTGGTATAATGAAAGATATATTGATCACAGGAACAGAATTGACAAACCAGAAATTAACCCATCCACATACAGCCAACTGATTTTTGACAAAGTGCCTAAGTATATTGCATAGGGAGGAGATAGTTTCTTTAACAGATGGTGCTGGCAGAACTGGAAAATGATATGCAAAAGATTGAAACGAGACCTTTACCTCACACCTTATACAAAAACCAACTCAGCATGGATTAAAGACCTAAATGTGAATCCCAAATTATGAAGGTCATCAATGAAAAACTAGGGACAAATGTGAGGGCTCTAATTCAGAGCATACACAGATTACCAAACATTTTGAAAACTACACAAACAACTGTAAACAAAATAGATGATTAGGACATACTAAAAATTAAGAACTGTGTGCATCAAAAGACTTCACCAAAAGAGTAAAAAGGAAGCCCACAGAATGGGAAAAATCTTTTGCAATGACACATCAGACAAGGGATTTATTTCCAAAACATATAGGAAACTACAACACATCTATAAGAAAAAGGCAAATGACCAATTAAAAAGTGGGCACAGGACATAAACAGACACTACACTGAGGAGGAGATCCGGGCAGCCAACAAGCATATGAAGAAATGTGCCAAATTAACACCATCACTAACCATTGTTGTTGTTGTTGTCAGGTGCCGAGTCGGAACCGACTCATAGCGACCCCATGCACAGCAGAACGAAACAATGTCCGATCCTGGGCCAACCTCACTACCGCTGCC